TGGCTTGTCCGAATATCTTACGTAAAATTTAGAATACAAATAAATTATTTAATATTTTAAAACATTAAAATATATAATCATAAATTTTTAAATGAAAGACGGATTAAAAAAATTGTTGCTTTCGAATTAAAAAATATTTTTAATACTGTCAAATTGTCTTGCTTTAAAAAAAAATTCAAATGAATAATTATATTTGTTGTTATAAACTTGAGAAATTTTTTCACAAATATATCAAAATCTCTTTTAAAAGTTTGGTAAGTCTTTATTATTATTTTCAAAAAGAATATATATTCTATAAAATGTTCTATAATTTGATTATTACAATAATCAATTTCTAAACTACTTTTAAATAAAAAACCAAATTTATATATAATTTTCTGATAAAAACTAAAATCAGATAATATATTGATTAAAAACTTTTTTTATTTATTTATGGTAACAAATTTAAATTTAGTTGTACAAAAATTTTGTTATTGATTAAAAATTGTTATGTCACAATTTTGTCAAGCCATGTCACAACTGTTTTGGTGAGAGTGATTATGAAGATGACACCTAAGATTCTTCTCATAAATCACTCTCTAATTAATATATAAGAGATATTTTGGTTTTCAAATATTTGAGTTTTTAACACGAGAAAGTTAAACCAAATCAATGAATTTGAAACCTCTTAAATTTAAAATATTAGGCTTTGGTTCTTTTAAAATCTTGGATTTTGTAAATAATTTATCCTCATAATATTGAAAAAATTGTAAATATTACATTCATTTTATTTTATTTTTATAATATAATGTTGTAGAATATATTCCTTATATATTAATTGGAGAGTGATTTGTGAGAAGATGTTTATGTGTCATCTCCACAATCACTCCCATTAAAACAATTGTGACATGACTTATCAAAATTGTGACATGGCAATTTTGAACCTATAATAAAATTTTCTATAACTATATTTATAATTATTACCATAAATAAATCAAAAGAGTTTTTTAATCAATATATTATCATATTTTTGTTTTTATTCTAAAATTATTTAAATTTTTTGCTTTTCATTTAAAAATAATTTAGAAATTGATTATTGTAATGAAGACTTACCAAATTTATGAAAGATATTTTGATATGTTTGTGAAAAAAACTTCTCAAGTTTATATTAACAAATATAATTATTTTTTTGAAATATTTTTTTAATGCAAGATATTTTGAAATAATAAAAATATAATTCGAACGCAACAATTTTTTGTAATCTATGTTTCATTAAAATTTATGATTGTATATTTTAGTGTACATTAAAATATTAAATAATTTATTTGTATCCTAAATTCTATTTAAGATATTCGGACAAGCCAAATTTAACATGATTTTTTTAACTCTAATGTATTAAATTATCATACATTTTGATTTGACACGTTTACATATATAAAATAATTAAATGGTAAAACTAAATTTCTTAAATTCATATTATTAATAAAAACGATATTATTAACCAAAAAAATTAACAACAAAAGAATCAACAACAATGTGTATAATAAAAATCAAAACAACGACATATTTCATATTTTTAAAGACTAAAATTAAAAAAACTACATAAATAATTTATCCGCGTGTACGCGGGAGAATCACCTAGTAATACTTTATAAGAATTAAAATTATATCAAATATTTTT